TGACTGAAAATTTTCCGCAAATTTCGAGACCGAGGCGTCGAGCTACCCGGATCCCCAAATTTTCCGAAAATTTAGAAGACTGGGCCTAGCCCGAGACTACCGAAGAGGCCCCGCCCTCTTAAAGCTGCAGCCCGAGCTTCTAAATTTTCCGGAAATTTTGGGTCCCGGGCAGACCCAATCGGCTTGCTTGCCGGCGTCCAGAAATTTCCCGAAAATTTTGGGGCTGGGGCACTCCGAGGCGTAACGCACCGCATAGGGCTAGTTTAACCGTAGCATTTTATAGAGTAGATAAATATAATAAAAATTTTTAAAAGAAATATTTGTTAAAAATAAAAAGTATGAGATTCTATCGACTATTCAAAATTATCTTTCAAGAGTTATTCGATTTTCTTAGCCAAATTGTAATCGAAAATTTATATTGAATTGAGTCGATGCCCTAGAATATATTCCAGTCGAATAGAAATAGTCCCTCCCGGTAATTCTTGCCCCCGGTCTATTTTCATTATCTGGAAAGATCTGGCAAGAATTCGACGCTCCGAGCCCCTTGCATACTCTGCATCTCAAGAGGGGCCTCGATTCATAATTCGGATTAAAAATTCGGTTGCTTAGATTGTTAGACGTGCGCCACCATGCCCCATCCAATTCGGACATCCGACCCTGACCTACCAGCCTGCGCGGTGCTCGATCTGAAAAGTCTACGGTCGACAAAACAGGTGGCGCTCAGAAACAATACGACTTCTGCCAAACATTGACTTCGTTCGTTTTCAGGTATTCAATTCAACAAATACATCTAAACCCTTTTCATCGTCTGAACTCCGAAAGTACGACCCAAGTAGCTTGTAGCAAGCCTGTACACGTCAGGTCCGTCCGACCGGTGGAGTCCGAATTTGGCCCCGGGTTCATTCGTATTCTACTCTCTTCCAACGGAAGCCGAACACCATCAGCCCAGGCTGCAGCGAAAACCCCATCTCAGCAGCACAACCTTCTCAACCATCGGAACCTCTAGCGGTTATACCATTATCGTCGTCCCGAGGGCAGAAAGCAGAAATGCGAATTCCCAAGCACTGCAAGAAACGAAATTCGGCACTGGCCCTGAGCAGAGGCACATGGATGTGATCAACTTGCGACGTGGCTGAGACTACTGAGATACAGGTTTGCGATCTGTGCAGCGTGTCAATTGCGGCACAGGCAAGGATGAGCGTGGATGTCGGACTCTGAAAGGACATGTCGACAACTAGCTGTGGGGCTGCATTCTCAAACTGCTTGTCCAGCGCAGACCCACATGCAATGTGCCTCGGGCCCGAATTATTGGGAGTTTCCGAAGATAGGGGACCCTAATATAGTACCTTAAATAGTAGGACCCTTATTATAAGGACCCCAAAGTAAGGTCCCCTAATTTTTGGAAACTCCCTTATTGTGCTCTGCCATCTCCTGGCGGCCTCTGAGTCTCCTCCGAAGGGCCCGGAGGGCCCGGAGGGCCTGGAGGTGGCGGAGGTACCGGCTCACGGCTTGCAGGTCCCTTTGACCGGCCACGGTTGCGCCCGAGCATCCTGCGCACCGAAGATGACATGCGAAGTGTTTGGATTTCATGATATATTGCACTCAGAACTACTTAGAACTAGAGACTTCCAGATTCAACGTCCATGGTCCCACCCTGAGCTGTGGCCCTGCACCTTGAGGCCCAAGAGCGGGGACAAGCCAGCCAGGCGCTTGGCAGCCGAACCCTCAGCTGAGGCCGTATGGGGCCACATGAGATATCTGGCACCGGCACAAGGTCAAAAAGAAGTCACGGGTTGCATGTCCGCAGCTCTCCAAATTCAGGCGATGGCTTCTCCCTCAGCTGCAGTCTGGCATCACGGGCAGACCGTGAAGGACTCACCTCGGACTCTCGGAAGGTCACTGCGCAGAGCGCGCAGTGATTCATAGTGGCTTCGAAAGCTACCGGGGGTACACTGTTGAGGCTAGTTAAGTTCAGCAGATGCATCCCGATGCCGGTTTCAAACGTGCGGGAACTTTCAATGTGCAGCACAGCCGGGAACCAGGCTGGTGCAACAGGCTCCCGGCCAGCAACGGCGCCGTTGCGTGCCAGCAGCTCAAACCTTTGGCAGAACCTTAAAATTCCAGAAAAATGCTCGGAGCCACAAAAAGCGTTGAGCCGCTTCCAGGGGTCCAGCTCTGCGGCATCCAACATGCCATCGCCTTTGCTGCGCGGGTGAAACAAGGCATGCACACAAGCCGATGAATCCTTAAGCCACGCGCGCAACGGGCGGCCCAGGCGGAGCATGTTCTCCACCACGCGCTGGTCCTACAACAGCACAAAGTCGATCAGTCTATCAAACAGCATTGAAGCTCATGGTTGTGGCTTTCAGGATTTAGGCCTGAGGATGCGCTTTCCTCATCCTGAAGCATCATGTCAGACTCTCATCCAGATGCCCACAGCCTCTGGACGAATCGGTTGCGGCAAGTAGTTCAGAAGTCGATCGAGGAGGATGTCCGCCTCGGTGTGGCAGCAAAGGAATTGGCAATCCGTATACGAAATCCTGACATGAGGCTGTGGCTCGCAGCACCTGGCGCAACAAAACAACAAATATCAAATGGTTTTGCTCGCTGACACCTTCAACAATCTGCAAACAAAACGAAAAATACCTAAGTTCGATGTCGTTGACACTGCTCGGCTCCCAAACCAAAACGCTCAGCCCCCCAACTTAAATGATGATAGCAGCAACAACCCAAAAAAACCCAAACAAGACCAACAAAATCAGGGAGTCCGAGCCCGGGCCTCCGCGTCCTGCATGGCCGAAGCCAAAGAGACGAAGCCTTGGGCCTTCCCAGGGCTTCAAGAAAAGGATCAAGAAAAGGATTCCCATTAAAGGGTTCTATGAGGGCTACACTATAAGAAGGTGTTATGATGTATGGACATCGACTTTCGATACCTGGCAACATAAAACGTGAGTTGCGAGGGTTTTCATTGGGGGTTTACGGTTGTAGTTGTGGTTCTTTTAGTGCTTCGGGTTCTACCAGGCGGTTTTGGGGTTCTTTTCGGGTTTGGAGTCATTGGCTCCATGAGAGTTTAGGTTTCAGAGTTCCATTACGGAGCAGGTTCATCCAGAGCATGTGAAATCATGAATCATGGTAGGCTGCTATACATCTACGTACCCGAAAACGGTGTGGACCAACTGACAGGGAGAATCAGATCCTTGTCCTTCAACAAATGTTCCAAGTTCCCCAGCCTGAATGTTGGGAAGCAAACTGCTGCGAAAGGGACAACCGAGGGTAGGCCATGTATTGTCTTTTTAAATCTGCGATTATCACAGCTTCTGTTGTTGAGTTAAACAGATCTTCCAGCATTCGTCAGCCGCGACATGCCGCGACCGTGCGCTCTACTCATCATCTGGTCTTGCTGTGGGAAGTCGATCAGTCATGGAATGTACTTAGCATACACATTGCGTCTTGCCGAGCGAAATCCTTCTGGCCTGAAGTCGCTGGTCGATGTAGCGGCACATGTCGGCGGCTGGGCCACGCTCACCTCAATGCGAGGTCAATCATCCTACTGATCGGAATGCCGATTTGATTAGTACGCTAAGGTATGCGCTGCAGGATCAGCGCGGTGAGCTGCACAAGATTAAAAGAGTCTGAAACTTGGTCGCCAACGCAGGTTCAAGGGATGGAAATCCTCGCCAAGAGCCCAAGAGCGACAGAAGTGCTGGGCCCGGACATCGCTCTCAGTCATTGCCCTACACGAATCTCTGTGCTCCTTCTTGTCATTTTCTAGACGTTCAAGAAGATGGCCATAGGAATAGGCATCCTGGCACAGGAATGTTGCACAGAGACGCTGACTGCGGAGGGTTCGTAGGCCTCTCCATGCAGCATGCCGCCTTTCTGAGGCCTTGGCATTTAGGGTTTAGGGTTTAGGGTTTAGGGGTTAGGGTTTAGGGTTTAGGGCTTAGGGTTTAGGGTTTAGGGAGGCCTTGGCGTAGGGCTTGGGGCAGTTTCTGGGGTGCTCGGGGGGCAGGGACTCTCGCTGATTGATTCTTTTCCGATGTGCTGTCCGGCTCCATGGGGATGTGCAGCGTCAGGCATCGGCGGCGCTTCGAGAACTTGGTGAGGATGGAATCAACCCTTGCTTTGAGGTGGCATCTGACAGTTTGCTGAAGGGCGCCTGGTGCACTCACAATAACCACTTCCGGCGACACATCAACCACAATTTCACTCTGTCGCTGAAATGCTGTCGACCAAAGAGTCAGGAGCTCCGAAGTACCGTTGGCCGACCTCACCCATTGATAGTGGATCGGAGACGGCTCAGGCATTAGGCTTGAGCTGCACACGTCGGCGAGTTCTGCTACTTCTCTGGTCATCCGAAAGCCAAATAGCCTCTGCCACACGGCCGAACCCCCACCAAATGCTGCGGCCACCATCCTAAGACTCTCTTCCAGCAGTTCTTTGCTGCACTTTGTTAGAAGCATCTCGGCATGGATGTGGAGATGTATATTGGATAATGGAACTACGGCCCTTGCGAATGATTCCGCTCGCTTCCAGAATTCCATACTTTCAGCTCGTCGGCCGTCCAGCCGTAGCCGCGCTGCAAGCTGCTGGAAGGCAGGCACCAGGGGCCACAGCAGCCAGCTCTCCCAGCTCTCTGCAGCGGCGCTATGCTCTCTCTCTAAGCTCTTAAAGGCCTTTCGGGCCGCTGTTTCGGCCTCACAGACGAGGCCTTCAAGCTGAGACACCTGGATAGGTCCCAACTTCTGATGAAATCCTGGAACTTCTGAGCTATAGAGTCGTCTCCAGGGTTCCAGGTCCTGCTCCGTCTTCTGCAGCAATAGCTCGAAGCGACATCTTTGACAGCCACAAAGGAAACCAAAGAGATCTTGCAGCTCCTTCTGTCTCATCTCAACGGGCATCCGTATGTCGCAATAGAATTGGGTCAGCTCCTCTCCTGCTTCGATGTCACGCGCCGCCCTCAGCAACACCCAGTCCTTGAGTAAGACCTTGGACATGTTCGGCGCGCAGGTATGATTGAACAAGGACGCCAAGGGAAAGACGCCATAGCTCTCGTGACGCTCCTGCTCGCTTCGTTGCGGCTCACCGTCCGTGAACGCGTATTCACTCACAGGGGAAGCACACCTATATGCATTCAAATCAACGATTCGGCTCATTCGTCGCACGGAGATGGCATGTTCTGGGCTGTACTGCTCTGGGCACAGTGGATATGCCTGACTCGGCCATGCTGGCAGCGGCACTGCATCCGAGAATGTCGGCAGCTCCTCCCCGTCACACATCAGGTTCAGCCGTTTCCAATCCAGTGGGGCCTGGCGGATCGGAGCTTAGTAAAGAAACAATCTGAATCCAACCATTGAAAGTGAAACCTCCCTGACTAGTTTGAGGAACCCCAACAGCTGCTGCTTGCACGTTGCGAGGGTCCAGGTCTGACTGCATCTTCGCCAGAGTTGGCCCCAGTTCAGCTTCCGGAGCTATGCCCAGAGCTCTCTCGGCGACAAGAAGCTCCCCAACTCTCAGCGGCCCTGCTGCCCATACTCCTCGACCACTTTCTTGACTACTCCGAACTTCCAGGCAGGCATGGAAGAATTCTTTCACAGCTGAGAAATCTTCTTGCCAGACACGGTCCCAGTCAATCTCTGTGCACATGGCTGGAACCTGACACAGAAGCTTTGAGCCTCTGTCCACCACGAAGCTGTATCCACCCTACCGAAAATGCGACTGTCCAGAGAGCCCATCGCCAGCCTGGGGTAACTGAGGCACACGCGCCAGTCGGCAAACCTGAGACACCTCGTCGTCGGAAAGCTCCGGCGCAGCCTTCGGCATCACAGGGTGCTGCGAATTCGTGTTGTGAGTCTGGTGGTTTCTGAGCCTCTCGAACCGCCGCAGACAAGAGCTCCAGTGGAAGAAAGACCTCCGGAGCTGAACCTGACAAGTGAAAGATGCGACTCTGGGCACCACGCTAACGCCTCGCGTCTGACAAAGTTTCGTGATCCCTGTGCGCCTTGAGCCATCTTGTACCTCCGTTGGTGTTACTGGGGCTCCCACGGAAGATGGCAGCTCGAAGCACTTCCGTCCGCTGTAGCCGATACAGATGAAAGCACGACCTCTCGGTCTCCAGGGAAGCTCTGGGAGAACACACATCACTGCACAGTAAGATGCTGCTGCATAGAGATTGTTATATAACTGTAGAACCGCAGCAGAAGTAGGACATGGCGCTATGTGACTATGTGTAACAGACAGAAGCATTAATTGAAGTAGCACAACACACAGGAGAGCCTACCCACACAGCAACACACGGCATTGCGCGACACAAACATCCAGATTTGTATACAAAAACAGCAAATCATGCTGCTGTGGCAGCGCACAAGCGTCGAACCGCATATGGAGTCATGCAGATCAGAAGGCCTTGTAAAGCCGGGTACAACAGTGGTAACAGTGGCTGGAGGAATACCCAAACAGAGATCAAAAGTATTTTTGGATCTTCATTATACAAGACAGAACGGTGGCAGAGTATGAAAAGCACTCATAGTAGCAGAGCAGTAGCAGTAGTAGTAGCCGCAGCAGCAGCAGCAGCAGCAGCAGCAGAAGCAGAGATAGATAGGAGGATAGGTAGATAGGTAGATAGGTAGATAGATAGATGGATAGATAGATAGATAGGAGGATAGGAGGATAGGTAGATAGGTAGGTAGATAGATAGATAGATAGATAGGTAGGTAGGTAGGTAGGTAGATAGATACATAGATACATAGATACATAGATAGATGAATATACAGATAGATAGACAGACAGACAGACAGACAGACAGATAGGTAGGTAGGTAGATAGGTAGATAGATAGATCGATAAGGAGATAAAGAGATAGGTAGGTAGGTAGATAGGTAGGTAGATAGGTAAATGGATAGATAGATACAGGTGTAATGATAGACAGTGGTAGACAACAGTAGATGGATGGTGCGACCCTGTCTGAGGGCCAGTCTCCTCAAGGCTCGGCCCTGGGTCGCGCTTTGCAGCTCTGGCAGCATCGTCCTCGCCATCACCTGGCCGAAAGAGAATAGGTTGGGTGTTTGGTGTTTCATTGTTTCGGGTGCTACTTTCTGATTCTTTTCAGCGAGGTAATTTGGAAGCATGGCAAGGATCGCCATGACATCAGGAAGAAACCCGAGGCGGCCGGACCTGCATCGCCCGGAGCTTCGACGGCGGACGGGCCGAAGACAGTCTTAAAGGACATGAAGTCCATCGCTTCCTGGGAAAGTCTTGGCAGCTTGTTGATCACATCACTCGAGCGGGCCGGGCTTCAGGCATCCTTGCACCCTCCCAGAGCTTGTGCAATCCTGACCGACGCAGATTCAAGCAGCAGGGTCCAGCTGTTTGTTATGCTTACTACCACTTGCTACCCTTCGGAGGGGGCGAGTTCTTCAGCTGCTTTTGGGTCCAAGCCCTCGGCTTCCAGAGCTTGTTCACCTGCTCGTCTGTAAGGTTTAGGTCCTTGGATGGCTTTCGGATGCTTCTGGCTAGCTGCTCCGCTCACTGCAAGCTCCAGTCTGAGCAGCCAACGCCGAACTGAAGCAGCGCAGCTCTGAAGCCTGGAAGTCCTTAGCAAAGAAGGCGCCAAGACGCCAGAGCTGAGGGCTTCGTCGCGCCTGAGATGTCGGCTCACCTCCCCTTCGCCTGTGATGTCAAGGGTCGCGAAGGCCCCGGAGAGCGAGCCCTTGCAAGATGTTGCCAGCCCTCTTTTTGGTGGGCCCTCAAACTTGGAGTAAGACAAACCGAAGATGCAGGTCTCTTTTCATTCTTTTCCCATCGCAGGAGGCCATCCGGAGAGCAGCATTGACTCTCAGGAGCCCCTTCGGCTGGAAAGGAAAAAGACGCTAGCGGGTTGAAGAGAGTGTGATACGGCTGCAGATGCAAGCGGACCGGGGCTCTGTAAGCCGTTCGGCGCACTGCTCGCGAACAGAGATGTCATGTAGGTTGCCACAAGACATGATGTTCATATCCTGCGGCGCGATCTTTGCTGACATTCCAGCGAACATGCGATACTCTAGCAGATGGTGAGCCTCTTCACCAAGCGTTGTGCAGCAAAGCATGAGACATGCATTACACTTGACTTGCTTTCAGCAATTCAGAACAATCCACTCAGTCTGCTGTCATGAAATCTGCCCAAACCGAGCTGACTTTGAAGATTTTTAAGTCACTGAGCATGGCCTTTGTGCAGGCGCAGTTACATCAAGGTGAGGGTGGGTCGTCTGTGGGCATGAGCCACCAAGCACTTCAAATGCAGCTATGCAGCCATGATGTCTTGAGGCCTGGGAGGGGCTGCTTTTCAAGAAATCAGAGCAATCGCCACTCCAGAGCATCCCACCTCTGCGAGACGGCCAGGAGGCTGTCCCGGATCTTCTTCTTGGACTCTTCTGCTGACATGCCCGAGAGCAGATCCTGACTCTGCAAGAGCGACATGGACATGCCGAAAGACTCCCAGCCGATACACCCCGGCACGCATCCTCATCTTTCAACGCCTTCGTCACGCGTAGCTCCATGCTGCTGGTATATTCGGAGATCTGGGTGGCAGTCAGGATCCCGTGGCTCAGGCACCTGTCACGACTGGCATCATTCTATTCATAAACTCCAAGGTCACTGGTTGCCAATCCTCCTCTTCCCTGTAAACATTCTACGCATCCGTTGGGCCGGCACCTGTTCAAGACCTTCTCGACTTGCTCCCAAGTGATTTTGTGACCGAAGTCAGCTTCGGCCTGCGCAGGAATCGGTGAGCAAAGGAACCCAGAGACTCCAATATCCCTCAATTAAGGAATATACCTTAAATTATATTGGGGATCTTGCTATAATTTAAGGTATATTCCGTAATTAAGGGATATTGGAGTCTCTGGGAAGCTCGCTGTTGCCGGCTTGTGGTCAAGCATCTATCTACATGGCCACTGGGCTCCAAAGTCAAGCGACTCCTGTCCAAAGCAAGCCTTCAGAAGCGAGAACATGCGAAGCTCGGGTGGCAGAGCATCCAAAGCCTCCAACCAAAGGGGACAGCAGAAAGTCATGCAAGAAGCAGGACGTGGTTTCAGCGCCGGACGGTGTGGAACTTCTCCATGGCCTCAACACAACGTGCAATCCCAATATAACACGTCGCAAAGCAAAATACCGCCACCAACATGACACCGTTGCTAGCATATTTGCCGCTACATTGCCGATGATGATTGTCGTGTTACGGATCCTCGTGTTCTTCAACAAGGCCAGCAGATTGGCCGTTAAGCTTCAGCGCTGGTCTTGTGAAGAAACGGCTTCCATCAGCGAAGGGCTGTTTAGTCATCTGTAGCCGTTCGATTTTGAGTTGCACGAGCACGGCAAAAACACTTGACGGGCAGGGGGAAACCTTTTTGCATCCCGCGTTCTCCTAACAACCCTCGCTTTCTCACGTGTATCCAAGACGGACGTTGGACAATGTCGCACGTCTGGGTCAATTTGATCAGAAGACCGCCCAGTCCATGCCTTTTGCTGGTGTTGTCGAAAGCGACGCTAACATGTCTCGCGATCTTTCTCGATTCGTTCTTAACTGCTGTCACCGAACTCTCCAACGTGCATCCTGTGCTGTGCTGCATACTGCCAAGCTCGTTAGCTTCCTGAAGTGCGCGTTGATCGTACAAAACTTCTTCTCCGGCGGTCGCAAGCGTCTCGAAGGAAAATCGTCGCTCTGAACGAGCACGTTGTTTGTAATTTGCTCAACTGCGGTCTTGTTGTCCGATTGCTTCGAGTGCTCCTACGCGGCAAATCCGGTGCTGGTTGATGCACCGTGCACGCAAAGGGATGTCCTGATGCAGTGAACAGAGCGTTCGAAGTTTGACCACTCCAACATCAAGAAGCGGATTTGCACGAGCCAACAGACTAGGTCCATGTCGGCGGCATCGTACCCAAGTTGGCACTCTCAAGACAGATCCTTGAAAAACCACAAAGGGAAGATACAAAGTGTCTGAGCACCCTACATACAACTAACTCCTTTTGTCCATGCTTCCAGCAGAAACTTGACCGGGTACCAGGAGCTTCGTGCTGTCGCAAAAAAAGTTAAGTATGGTCGCGGATGTCAAAGGACGCCGAGTCAACCCCCATGCGCATGCACAGCAAGTTTTTCCAAGGCTGATAAGCAAGGGATGTTGTCAAGTCCTACGAAGGCTGTACTGCCGAGCTGCTTCATCCGTCTTGTGCCAGGACAAAGACTCGAATTCGTAGTAGACCTTACTCTTCACTCCGTACTGCCTGTTGCTGCAAACCTCTAACTCAGAGCATGTCCGTAAACGTTCACCAAATCATGTCTCTCACGCACAACACACACGACACAGCGACAGTCCCAACATCACGCTGCAGAGCCTCTGTTCCGCATCATCAAACGTGATCATGGCTATATCCCCTTCAATACAAACGTTGCTCAAAGCACAAAGATGGATTTAGCCCGCGCACAAGCAGGTTCATATCGGAAGACTCCAAGCGGAGCTGCCGCTCTTCATCTAGGCACAGTTTCCACAACACTGGAAGCAACAAACTCAAATAAAAATCCCAAACCGAGGAGCCGGATCGTCCTCCCGAACCTTGCCATCCTTCATCGTCACCTGGCGCTGAAACGTAGCGAGGCTTGCAAAGAACGACACTTCGAGACCTGTCCCGTCATGCTCCAGATCAGACGGCACATCCCTCAAAAGCAGTTCCGCTTCGGGTGCTGCTGCCGGATCTGAGAATGGAGATTCTACACGACCATGCCGCGAAAAGGTCACGACGAGGCCTTCTGGATGATCTGAGCCTCGGGCGGCAGTACAGATATTTTTCGCGGCTTGCATTGCACGACGGCATGAGTGAAGGAAGCATTTTGGCAACAATGCTAGCCCAAAAAGTGTTGCAGCTCAGCACAACCCGCGACTTTGACAAAAGCAGCGAAGGGGCCAGCCATATTCGACTGCGAGGGTTTACATCATCCCCTCGCGCAGTCAAAGTGTGTTTCAATTGTAGCATCAGCACTTGCCAGGGCGTTCGAGCCTTCTGCAAGAACCGGGATGACCATCAAGTCTAAGTCCATGTTCTCTGTCACCCTCGTGCAGGACTCCGTCGCCAGGAACTTTGCCTGGCCAAGCAATGCTGGGACGCACAGCTACATCGGACTACAGACTGATATCTCAAGAGTTTGTGATACAAGCAAGCCCTTCCTTGAGCTTCTTGACATTCAATCCCACCGGAGGCTCCGTCCACCGGTTGGTGTAGTGGCGGGCCTCTCCCAAAGCAATGTGCAGATTTGTGTGCGCGTGCTGCTGAGCCAGCACGCAACAAGCACGAGATGCGGCCTTGCCCATGAAAGCTTTGATGTCTTTGGCCTTGGTCTCCTCTTCCGCTTTCTTGGACCAGATCTCCATACACATCTTGGCCTGCCAGGAGACATTCAATGGCAGCTTGCCCAGCAGCTGGGGAACCCTATGGCTGGTTGATGAGGGCAGAACTTTGCAAACCATGCTGTCAGGATGCGAGGTTGTCCACGATCTTCTGCAAGACCCGGGAATCGCACTCCTCCCTCCCATCCTTCTCTCCTTGCTCATCGAACTTGAAGACTCGCTTCAGCTGCCGCGCTAAGGCAGGGAGAAGCTCCTCCAGCTCCTCCAGGGGGGGGATGTGCTGCATGCTGACAGACGCTGGTTGAGGAAGAATGCACATTAGCGGCGAGTTCAAGGATCTAAGGAAGCTGATCCCAATGCAGATGGCAGGAGTGTTGGAGTTAAATTCCGGCAGGTTCCGCTGCTGGTGCATGTACACACACGCATACATGTAGGTATGTATATATATATACACACATATGCACGCACATAGGTTGCACAAGATGCACAAGTTGAGAAGCCATGCTGTGTCTACGAGGCTGCCCCCGAGCGCGGGTGCCGTCGATGTGCAAGAATTAATCAAGCGAACCGAGCACTTGTATTGCTATCATGGAGACCTCCCTTCAAACTACCCGGTCACTGCCGTCCTTGCTTGGGGTCCGTGCTGATACCAGCTGCTTCCGCTGCCAGTCTACAAACTCCTCGAAAGTGATCCCCTTGCTGTTGTCTGCGTCCACATGCCCAAAGGCGCGCTTGGGTGAGTTGTCGAAGACGGAGAGGCTCGTTGAGCCGCTTTCCTTCCCCAGCTGCTTCTTGAACTGGTCTTCTAGTGGGGCTGCCGTCTCACTCCGGAGGCCCAAGCAGTTTTGAAGGATGGTCTGACATTGTACAAACTCCTCCATTGAGACCAGGCCATCCCCATTCTGGTCATAGACATCATACAGAGGCCGGACAGCGGCCTCGAGGCTAAAATACTCGAGGCCCTGTGATCCCATGCGCACCGTCGCACAAGGCTGTTGTAGCCACTCGAGAAACTCGTTGTACTCTATGAGGCCGTTGTTGTTCTTATCGGCCTCCCGGACATCGAGCTCTAACCTTCCTGAAGCTCTGAACGCGAGATGACCTCTGATGCATACTACTCGGAAATAGCAATCTTCATCCTGCCCACGGTACTGTGCTGGTCGCATGACTACTCCTGGTACACTACATAAGGGAAATAACCATCTGAAACATGCCCGCCATTCATTCATCGTACTAAGACTACTACTTCCTACTGATAACAGCAACGGCCTCGCTGATACACCGCTCGATCTCCTCCTCGGTGACAGCCTTACCGGCCACCTCACAGAAAAAACAGAAAAAACGAAGCACCAAAATCAGTTTTTGGCCTATAGAGTTTACCAACCTCCTTTATTGTCGGCCCTGCTCCATCCTCCTAAACTTCGGAACCCAAAGATGAAATAAGGGAGCCGGGTAGCAGGAGCCTTGCTGATTCAGTTTCCGCCACATCATAAGGCTTTAGTTTAAGTTGTAAAGGCCAATTTATGCAAGAGTCAACCAAGCACGTTTCCGTTCCTGTCCACCTTTCTGACATGTGGTGTTCCCTTCCGTTCGGGTTGCCGCCGGCAGAGAGCAAAGACGGAAACGGAAGCCGAAACCGGAAGCCCCGGAGGACCACAACAGCAAACGGAACCCGACACAGAAAGGCTGGAAAATCGAAAACCAAACCGGAAAAGGAGTATCCAGCACCAGCGGAGACAGAAAACAAACAGTAAAGACCGGTTGGGTTTCCAGAGGTGACAGGATTTCCGCTTCAGAGCCTGCACAAATCCGGAAGACGGCAGCAGGACAACGGAAAGCAGAAGCGAAATCAACGACGGAACTTTGGATGCAAGCCTGAACGGAACTGAGAAAACAAACTGCAAAGGGAATGGAAGTGAGAAGGGAAGGCCTTGGCCAATCGGAGAGCAGAACGGAAAAATCAAACCATGAGCGGACATGAAATGTGCCTTGTTCCCGACGTAAGCTGTAGGAGTGTTGCGCTTAGGGCTTACAGTATGGTTTCCGGCAATTCCATCCTTACGACCGATTAACTCGCCCCTCTGCTAAATCCATGGAAACCCTGCACATCCTAAAACCCTAGAGCCCCAAAATCAGAAAACGCGCAAACCTCAAACAAACCTAAAACCATAAATAAAAAAGACAGCAAAACCCGAATGCACTCAAAGTTCAAAATTCTACAGCCCTAAAGCACCAAAACCCTTAGCAATCTGAAAACAAGCTCAAAATCCTACAACCCTGAACTCAAAATCCTACAACCCTGAAGCCCCAAAACCTTGAAAACAACCTCAAAACCTAAAAGCCCTCAAACCTCAAAATCCTACAACCCTTAAGCCCCAAAACCCGGAAACCAAGGGAAAAAAAAAAAAAAAACTATCAATCTGAAGCCCTAAACCCACCTGCGAAAGGAGCCCTTGAAGCCGCTTCCGAGTGATCACCCCAGTGTTGTGCACATCCCACTTCTGGAAGATCTCCTTCACTGGTTCCCTGTTGGGGCTATATAAAAGATGATCGTTGTTAATCCTTATTGGGTTTTCTTATAACAAAATTTTAAATTGTATCCAACAAGGACCCAGTTCAGGGAGAAGGTCTTTGAGGGCAGGACTTCAGTATCTACGGTTTTTTGGGGCAGGCGTTAGGCTTTGAGACCGTAGGCTGTGGGGTTTCAAGGTTCAATATTCGGGGCACAAGCCACCGAGCCTGGGAAACCCCACGCCCCACCCCCACACACACACCTGCCGTCAAACAACTGTTATCATAAAATCCTTGTCGACCCAGCGACAACGCGAGGAACCACACCTGCTGCAAGCTCTGAGTCGGCTGTCGTGATTGACTTAGATGGAAAAAAGATAGCTTCGCCCGATTTAGGCAAGAGAGCCCCAAGGATAACTTCCTTACGAAGTCCCCTCCCCTCCACCAGTGACTCAAGAAGTGTTCCAGCAAGCAAAAGCCATACAGAGCTTGGGACCTTATTATAGCAACCAAACATTAAGAATTATTTCCAAGTACCCCTACGAAACATCCTTGGTCTTCGAGGACCAGGTCTTCTCCACAGCTTGGTCCGCCATGGCAGCGACGGGTCGGATCGGAAGTTCTGAGCTTCGGAGGGTGGGTCCATGTGTTGCCTGGCACCGCTGGGCTCTCGTCGATGAAACATGTAGCGTGCCGTTTAGGTTTGATGAAAGGTTGCTTTCCATGGCTTCAAGACCGAACAATGGCTGCGAGACAAGGGGGGAACCTGCAAGCACCGAGCCTTGCTGTTGCTTTCCGTGTGGTCCCGCTTCTGACTGCGAAAGCCCTGCGAACTTAAGGAAAGAGGAACAGCGGAAACCTTGGCACGGCGGAGTAGTGCCCGACTTGCTCGGCGAAGCCTTGCCCAACTCAGAAACCGAGGAAACGATAGTGACATCTCGACTTCAGTACTTAAAGGGTCATGGGACTTAGTACGTAGGGTTATAATTAGGGTAACTATACTTATAACCCCAGTTAAAGGACTTATAACCTTACTTACTAAGTCCCATGTTCCCTTAAGTAGCAGCATGGCAGCTCTGCCGGGGCGCGGGCATCTCACGAGCATAGGCTTCAAAGCCTTCGCCCTCACAAGCGCTGAATGCGCCGATGAACTCCTGTAGCCGAAAGCAATATCTCGCGTGCATGTTCAAGGACCAAAGACTCCAACCTCCATGGATGCCCCCACATCGGGATTTCTGCACATCGCACCATGTAAGGCACGCCTTCGGAGGCGAAAGCAGTCTCGCATCTCCGTTTCGGTTGCTGTGAGATCTCACCGGCAGCTCCAAGAATCGAGCAACTGCTGCTCCGACAGGTCGCTTCCCACCAGCGAGGCCTTCTGAAAGCTCTGGAAAACATGGGCTTGGGGTTTGGAGGTGGGGTCCCGAGTAAATGACTATATGACTATATCTATATATATATATATATGTATAACTTAATAAATGAATTTTGTTTGTATATAGAGAGAGAGAGTCTGTAGAGAGAAAGAGGGAGAGAGAGAGAAAGAGAAAAAGAGAGAGACCCGTCTGATTTCGACCCGGGCTCCGGGCCACTCCCCGCGCCAGGGATTCCTTCGAGAGCCGGGAACTCGAAGAGGGCACCCAGCGCCTAAGCCCAGCGAGAAGGGCGGCAGCGAGATTGAAAGAGATGGAGAAAGAGCGAGCGAGCGAGCGAGAGAGAGAGAGAGAGCGAGAAAGATGTATAGAGAAAGGGATGAGGGAGCTTGGGATAGGGGGCGCGGGGCCAGATCGGAAGTAGTTATGCGTCCATCTGTGTCCATGTATTTGCAGATCATAGTGTATCTGTGCACTTACGTGCACATAACCATATACATGTACTTTGACATGTTCATGTAGAGGTACATATACATACTATATGTATATACTGTATGTCCATAGTATATATTGGTATATTCAGGATCTTGTTGTCGATCGGCTAGGTTAAGATAAGATATTCTGTGACTAGAGTATTTTCTTGCGCAGGGTCTTCTGTTGCACAGGATCTTCAGCTAGACACGCGTTTCTTCTGTTGCACAGGATCTTCAGCTAGACACGCGTTTCGGTTCCCTAAACCCTAAACCCTAAACCCTAAACCCTAAACCCCTAGCCCGAGTCTGCGTTGGTCGTCAAGCAACAAGGAAAGCATGCCCACGCGTACCCGCCTGGATTCATGGTCAAGGTCGCTATGATGCCGCCTAACCCTGCACCATTGTATGGATCGTCTACCTGACTATGTGAACAACCTCTCCTGAATGGTTTAATCTGTGCATGCTCGCTTTTTTTGCGCACGTGAGCGGAAAGTCTGGTGGAATTCCGGAGGCCGGAAACATCCGGAAACCTCGGGCAATCTCCAGCACCTCTTGCAAGAGGAGGACAGGGTGAACCGCGACCCTAAACCCCACAAGCCCAAACTCCTACCAAAAATGATATAGAGCCGTAGAAACCCTGCAAACCTGCTAAATCCTAAACCCTACGCTTGAGAGCATTTGGGCAGCTTTGGCCTCGGTATCAATTTGGCAGGAGGCGCTCAGAGCTTAAATTCGCTTTCCATCCCGCGTGTTGTTGTCTCGATTGCCGCCAGACTGAGACAGAGGAAAGCAAATCAAGCCTTCTGCGAGCTGCCACGGATACATCTCACTTCTGAGGCGAGCACAAAAACGGTAGCTGCGAACAGGTAAAGCGCAACGACGATGAGAGCTCCGGCACCACCTGCAAGCACAGACTGCATGTGGCAGCCCCCGCATTCCTGCTTGCTCTCCGTCGCACCCGCCTATCACTGTGGCGGCATCATTCGGAGTTTCCGCTGCGGGTTTGGGCGGCGCTTCAATGATCGGCTTGGCAGCCTTCACAGCCAACTTGTTGTAGTCCTTCCGAGGCCGAACAGTAGGACAACCGAGAGCTTGTGGAAGCAGAGGGCAAACGCCTCGAAACCTTCTGTCACCGCCCATGCTGCCGGCACACCGAGCAGTGAGACAAGACTTCCTGATGGCAGAGGCTTGCGAACCTTCCTCCCACCGGCAAGCATTCCACTGCTCTCTGCATGTCGGCAGACCGGCCTGCGGCAGCTGTAGTCACCTGTTGACCACAGCTTTGCACCCCTACGCAGCTGCCCTGACCCGCCCAGCCTTCGGGATGAAAGCCAAACGAGTTGAAAGTCCAAGCACTAGAAGGAGAGCCACGGCAGCGCGCCTGTACCGCAAGAGCGGAAGCCTTCTTCCTCCAGAATTCCCCTCCCTGTGATCGCGCCTTCGGGCCATCCTCCCGAGCTGGTAAGCTACGTAAGCTATGCTTTCTAAGTTTGGATTCTGTAAATGGGCTGCGAGACGGTCACTTGGGAATCTGCCGGCTGCACATGCCATTAGATGCCGCTGAGGTACTGGAAAGCCGTGGTCAGGCGGAGACCCCGCTCGTGCAGCGCCGGTCTGATCCTGAAACTTTCCGATAGGGCACAGCGGATTAGAATGGCTCCGGGAGGCGATCGCGTGCGGCCGCCGACAACGACAAGCTCGCACTACTTCCCGCTCTTCTACCAACTTCCGAGCCTGCGCAGCGCGCTCCAGAGTGGGCCCCCAGCCTGCAAAACAACATTGAGAGCAGCGACGGCCAGACGGCAAACAGTAGCGCCCGGATGCGCTCGCAGCGATCAGAATTAGCCTTCCGCCGTCAAAGTGGCTCGAGCCGGCCCAGGCGGTCAATGTCCACAAGAATAACCACCAACATCATTAGGGTAGTCCTCTAAAATAGGGTCCCTTTTTGGGTCCCCAATATAGTACGGCACCCCTATAAAAAGGACACCAAAACAGACCCTCATTTAGAGAACTACCCATTACCATAAGTGTTGTGATTGCATTCCCAGTGATACCGCCACTACTAGTGCCACTCTCATCAGCGCTACTTTTGTGAAAAGTTCCACGTGCCTCGGTGACAGGCGCCTCAGTCCTCACCAGGGAAGATCTTGGCGGTGGAGGCCTGGAGCACGTCTGCGTAGACAACACTAGTTACAATGCCAGCGACGACGACGATGATGATAATTGCTATTGCAAACCCTTCACAAAACCATCAAAGAACCATTACGAATCGAAAAAGGTTAACAGAAACACTGCAAGCACCATATCGTTAGCGTGAGCGCCAACCTTCGCAATAGCTGCATTACTGATCACTTGGCATGGGTAGCAAACATAGAACAGGAAAAGTGGCAGTGAAAATGAAGGAATGAAAGGGGTACCACTCTGACCAATTCAGTAACAAGAACAAAAACAAACATTACTTGATATGAATCATTTTCAATTAGTTGCCGGGCGGTAGCATGGCGTCCAGTTGCTGTAGCGGTAATGCCGTGGGCTGGCACAAGCAACAGCAGCAGAAGCAGCTGCAGGAGCATGAGGAGCAATAGGAGAGGAGCAGTAGGAGCAGTACAGGTAGGAGCAGTAGGAGCAGTAGCTGCAGGAGCAGTTGGAGCAGTGGGAGCAGAGGGAGCAGTGGCAATAACACGAACTGTCATCGCGGTCGTCGCAGTGGCAGGCGGAGAGGCATAGTGGAAGTTATGGCGCCGTGGTCGTGGTGGTACTGGGAGCAGCAGCAAGAGCAGTAGCAACAGTACACCATTGAAATTATGTTGAAGAAAGTGTTGTCTAATGACATCAACACACCCCAACGATGCATGAAACTGGCCGGGAACACTCCGGAGGCTGCAGAATCTTGCTGACCTTGTTCGGCCCGTTGCCGCGACTTGAAGACGTGGGGCGAGCGATGAAACTCGAAGGCAATCCAAGAGCGGTGCTAGCTTGGCGATCTGCACCGTCCCGTCAGCTTCACAGACTTGTTGCCTCAGCACCTGGAAGTCAGACCAGATGTGAACTCCGATAAGGCTCGGTGCACAAGCCTTGCCTGGAGTGCCACGTCTGGCAGTGTTGGGCTGTAGGAGCGTAATGCCTGGGCTCAAAAGCGAAGGCATGTGCCTCTGCATTAGCAGAATCAATGTCGCCTTCGCGAAAGCCGCAGGATCCAGCATGCCAGTCTGCCTGGATCCGACACTCCACATCTACACGCCTCATCCTCTCAAGAAACTGCTCTTCGTCTCAGGGTTGAGCGTGCTGTCAAAAGCTGCGAGTTGCTGCCGCACCGCTTGTTGCAAGGCTTGGCTTCCTCTTGGCCTGCACACGCGAGCATGCTTGGAACGGCTCGGTCACGCTTTTGGAAGCTCGATCTGAGTCTGGCACGCAGCCGGTGCTCTCAATGCAGCCACCTGGCTCAGACTCAGACAGGCCTACAGCCTATGTTCCAAAACGCTGCCCTGCCCCTGACTGCCTCAGATATGGCAGCCCAAAGTGCCGACGTCAGATCTGAAGGCGCCTGCGCAGCCCACGCAAGGAGGGGCGAATAACTTGACATTGAACTGAATTAACTGAATGGCATGTAAACTCCACAGTCTCTGCTCCTGGATTTGCGTATCCGGCGTGGCGCCGGCCTGGCAGAGCAAGGAAGACCCTACAGCGCACCGATGCACACCGGCAAAAAAGTTCACTCACTGTGTGCTCGGCCTGCATGGCAGGCGCAAGGGCTGCCAAGGACCTTTCGGAGCAGAAAAGCACTTTCTGACGCCAAAGCTCCATGCAAGTCGGTTCCAGCTTGGCTGTCAGGCACATTCGGACTGAGACTATCGCCCTGGCTGCAAGCCCAACTGGAACTCTTCGCGCGTGACGCTGCCATCCCCATCCTCTCAAAAAGTGAGCTTCGGGGATTAAACACTGAAGCCCGAAGCATCGGAAGGGTCCGAGGTCTGCTGATTGTTTCTTCTACATTGGAGCTGCTGACATATTGCTTTGGGCATGCACATTGCTCTTGACACTTTCGCTCGTCTCTCATCCGTCATACGAGTGGCTTCTTCTGAACCGAATGCAGTTGATGCCAGCCAGTCTTCTCCTAGCTCTGATACTTTTCACTAAGCCACTAAGCCCTGTCGCTTGAACCCTCAACACACTGAACTGCGCTTCCCCACCGGTTGATATACCAGGTCATGCCTGCACCCAATGGCAAGGATGGGATCGACAGCGACTGAAGCAAGGACCAATACAAATTCTGGAGATGTTGATGCTGATGATGACGATGACGAAGAAGATAGGGACAAGCATGAGAATAGCTAGAGTCATTAGTTGCGGCCATCGAAAGTTGTGATCTGGCGAGGGTTTATCGCAATCACAGGATTAGTCGCTAGTCTTTCCGCCACAAGCACACTACTATAACTGCACTTACAGCCATGCAGAGACAGCCGAGCTCTGCAACGAGGCCTTGTCAAACGTTCGCCAGAGAAGCTCGAGTTGTTGGTGGGTGATGCTCGGCCTCGTCGTAGTGTTCATGGCTTGCTGCGTGAGAAGAAGCCGCGCGAGAACAGAGCAGCCGGCTCGGCGATTCTGAAGAAGTCGGCAAAGTCCTTCGATTGGACAGTGCTCCTGGACAGAGACATCGCCGGAGGCGTTGCCCGCTCTGCTTTGTTTAGTAAGGTCTTTGTCACAAGCCATGCGATGGAGAGATCCCGCTTAGTTGCAGCTCCTCGACCCTGCGAGTGCATCGAATAGCTCCATCACCGACCTGCCATAATTACTCACTGAACCCTGTCGCCTGAACCCTCAACACGCTGAAATACGCATCCTTTCAACTGGTTGATGTATCAGGTCATTCCTACATCCTAGAGATTCCTAGAGCCTACCAATCGCCAGGACTGCAGCAAGGACCAACAGAAATTCTGGAGATGTAGATGATGATGTTGATGATGTTGATGATGATGATGATGATGATGATGATGGGGACAAACATATCAAACATGAGAAGTGCTAGAGTCAGTAGTTGGGCCATCGAAAGTCTTGATCTGGCTTGCAAGGGCTACTCACTATCACAATCACAGATTATTAAATTATGAGTCTTATTGTGAGAGTAACGAGCACAGCAGTGCCAGCTGCATTAACAAGCCGGGTTCGCTTTCCCTCGCGCATGAGGGCTGCGGCTACGCGAGAGCAGACGTCCTCTCGTCTACAGTCACATCGGCATACGTGCACCCTTGCCTAGAAGCGACAGCAAGTTCAACCGCATGGTGTGTTTCGCCTGTGTTTCTTCTGTGCATCCGCAAAGCTCCTGCGCTGCTTCCTCAGCCGACTTGCTGACCGTGCCCAAAGCGCGATGGAACTCTTCTCTGGAGACACCGCCGTCCTGAGACGCCAATTTTAAGGTCAGGCCCTGAGCTTACGGCATCTGATTCGAAGGACCCTGAGTCTGAGCCAGCTTCTCCATTTTTGTCGAAGTGTTGCCACAGCTCTTGCAGCTGGCTCTCCTCCCATCCATGCGTGCGTCCGATCGCGACAGGTTTTCCGCTTTCATGCTTCTCAATTCGTCACAGCCTTTCAGGTTTCTCCGCAAAGTCACTAAGCCCAAGGCTGCCAGATCCGGCAGCAGCTGAGCAAAGAGAGCGTGGAAATCAGACCACGTCACGTCTTGGCGGCCACTGGCCTAAGGCACTGAGATGCACTGAGTCTGCTCACCCCTAGATCTGGAAGCTTCGGGAAGTGGAATCCGACGACAACACTGGGACTTCAGCCAAGGCATCGAACAGCTGATCCTTCACGGGATGCGCAACTTGCTTTTCACACCCAAAGCAGCCCAAAGGCAACAGTCCTGGGTCTTCCCTTCTCTGCGCAGCATGGCAGTGACCATTGAGCAGACTTCCTCGGAAGGAGGGTTCATAACATCCAAAAATCGCGACGCCTGCCTTCTGCACGTAGACAGTTCTTTTTTGTACAGGATGCAAGCGAGTAGTCAGACATTGAGACTATTGGTACACAACGCGAACAACATCTGTGGAAGTGCCGGAAAATCGCGTCGTTTTGAGGGCTCTGCTGAGTCTCAGCTGAGCAGAGGCAAGTCAGCCTAGGATGGCTTCGGTCCCGTGTAAAGCATCGACATCTTTCCACCCCGCGAGTTTGGCAGAGGGGTCCCCTCAATCGCTGCGCCATAGAGCGCGGCAGCAATATTCTGCCAGGTGTTCGTTGTCACCCTGTCATCATATGGCGGGCCGGCCTCGACGATCAAGGACTTGACATGGTCCGGGTTCATCCAGCGTGCGTCGCCGAGCTCGTGCGGGTCGATGGAGATTGTCTCCTCGACTGCCTGCAGCTTGACAATCACATAGATGTCATCCTGCCCGAATCTATATCCGTGGCTATGGCGTACACTCACCAGATTCAGGAACTTGGCCGTAATCCCAGTCTCCTCCCGCACTTCTCGCACCACGGTCTCTGCGAAATCCTCGCTGGGATCCGCCAATCCACCGGGCAGCTTCCAGGATCCTTGAAACTGTGGAATTGGAGAAATCCTCTCCTGCACCATGAGCACCTCGCCTTTGCTGTTCAGAACCACACCCCCGACGCCTACCTGGGTGAAACCATACTTTGGCAAAGTGCTGGGCCCTTCCCCCAACCAGCGTGTCATCAGCACGTAGTCGGCTTTAGCATGATGAAACTCAAAACCCTCTGCTGCCGCAGGACCCACACAGGCAGCTGCATCCAGTGGCAGCTTTAGCCAGATACCCTGCTTTCCTGCCGTGCTCCAGGCTTGCAGGGATTGCCGCAGCTCGGAGGCAAAGGCGCTGACAGGGCTGTCCTTCTGGAAACCCAAGACCTCTGCCTCCACTCCTCCGTAGCGGTCTTCCTTGGCGACCAAGACCTTCGTGGCCTCCGTCGCCTCCGCCTCCGTCGCTTCTGCACTCTCACGAATGCACTCCGCAAGGAGATCCAAGGCGAGCTTGGTAAAGCCCCACATGTTCTCTTCCCGCTCGTTGGTCTCAGACTCGACGAAGAGGCCCTTTTCAACAGGGCCTGAGACGAAGATGGCCGTGAAGCCTTTTGTTACATCTGGAAAAGTGAAAGTTGGGCCACATGCCCCGCTTTCGCAAATGCACCAAGTCGACCCGACTTCTTGGCGCTTGTGTCTCGCCACACGCTGTGTCCATTGCCGCTTGGACTCCTTGTAAGACGGCCCATCCGTCGGCCTAGGCATGGACAGATCCAGGCTGCCAAGAACGGCCTTTGCTTTGTCTTTGCCGTACGTCACTGCACCACAGGTAGTGTAAGAAGATGCCCCGGGCAACGACTGAAGCGAAGCCTGAATGAGACCAGCGGTAGTGCTCTCAAAAATGGTCACATTCTGCTTCGCCCCTTTCAGTGCCGCGGCGGCTTCTGCTCCCACCTCGCTCAACGAACCTAAGCGCCTGGAACTAAGGACCACGGACCGAAAAAGCGGGTCCATAGCTGCAAAGGTGAAGGGATCAGCCAAACATACCAGTGTCAAGATCGTACACTTGGGATAGCGAGTGCGCACTCGCATGAAAAGCTACGCAAGCTCAGCTACGCTTGCTGATACGAGCCATCCCAGTTCATCCACTCGCCATGCACATAGCAGCACATGCAGCATGAGGCTTGTCTCACAACTTGGCTTGGCCAGCCGACCTCTGAGACGTTCGTTTTGGTGCTGCCAGCTTTTGCCGAAGCCTGTGTGGGATTATGCATTCAATCCTTCCAACCCATCTTGAGAACCCTCCGGAGTGCCTCAACGTTGGCCAGCTGCTTCTTGAATTCCTGCAGAGTCTCTTGGTGCTTTATGCTTCAACCCACCTCTCTCACGACGTCTTCACGACTTTCGGCCCGCGCACGCCCGTCCTCCCGAGAGATGCCACCATCCGCATCCGTGTCGAAAGTAACCCAGAGCCTTACCGAAGCCGGGTTCACGTGCAAAAAACTGTTGGCAGTGGTGGACTCGCTGCTCCAAGGAGCTGTTGTAGCTGACCTTCTGACAGCGACGGCCTCAAATGCCGATGCTGCTTCTAGTATCTTCTAGCCTGCATACTGCTCACCTCTTCGAACTCACATTGCCCCTCTAGTAAGAGGGCCGAGCTCCAGCTGTGCGAAGAGCGCGCGGAAGTCGGGCCAACGAACTTCTGTTCCACCGGCGGCCTGTGAAGCTGTGGGCAGGAGCCGCGGAGGGGACAGCAACAGAGCGACTGCCGGCTGAACTTGGGCCATGACCAAGGCATCGAACAGCGCGTCCGACGTCTGCCCCTGCACACCGAAACCCTCTCAAGATGTCGAGAGGCATGCACGCCACCGATCCTTGATCCTGACCCTTGCTTGAAGTGGTGACTTGTTGACTTGTTTCGCAGCTGCTCAGGCAGGGTTGCCCTTTTCGGCACCGGCAGGGACCAGCTGCAGTGAGCGCCTCGATAAGGGAGAGCTGGCAGAGAAGAAAACCTTCCGGACTCCAAAGATAGCTCTGATCGCCATCATGATATTCAGGCTCCACCAAACTTGGACCGCACTGATGTTTCGGCGGGCCAGGAGGAGCATGACGACAACTGCGGCAGCACCTGCGTAGGAGGTGCACTTGGCCGTCCAAACATACTCTCCAAGACCGTAGAGAACTCCGTCAGCCACCCACATCACACCGTAGATGAGCAGCATGGCCATTGCCGGTGGAACCAGCGTGGCAAACGCCGCTGTCACTGTCTGGTCCCTAACAAGAACACTCGCAATGAAATCGTGGCCGAGCCAAAGGCTCAGAGCTGCGAAGCTAGCCACGACCATACCCAAGCGGATTGCGTGGACGGCGGTCTTGCGGGCACGCTGGGGGTCGCCACGGACAACGTCGGCACTGACCAAAACCTGTGCTGCAAGCTGGAAGCCGTACAGCAAGTACAGCAGCATCAGGAATGTTTTCGTCATGCAGGTGTGTGCCGCCAAAGGTGCCTTGGTTGGAGACTAGGGCTAGACAGAGGGGCAAAAGCGGGGAAGGTGCAAAACCAGCGGTGGTGGAAACCCTCCAAAGACTGCAGAATGTTAGATCGGAGGTGCCACACCAATCTTTGTGATGATGGCACAAGCTACAAGCCATGTTGTGAGCGATGAAAACGTTCGCACAGACATTGCGGCATTTGCCTTTAGCAAAGCCATCCAATTCTTCTGACTGCTGGCGCTCTGGTTCGGGCTAGGCTTTCCAAGGAAAGCCGATGCAAAGACCTGCCCTGGAGGTGGCAACCACGGCTCTCCGCTGGACGGCCTGCGAGCGACCAGGATCCAAGCAGCAACAGCGGACACATAGCAGGCTGCCGTCGTTGCCCACGCAGCCCTGGCGCGAACAATGCACAAAGGACAGCATGACGGACCCAAGCGGCAACACATGCCAGTGGGCGCCCGGCAGTGCCGCCGTGCAAAGTCGCAACGCCGATTGGTGTCAGCACCGCATTGAGCCCGGCGCCCAGCAGGACCAGGCGCAGCACTGCGGTGGTGTCGCGGAAGGCACCCGAAAGCGCCGCCTGAAGAACGATCAATGTGAGCAGCCCCGGTGCACCGCACAGCCGCGGGACCTCGGACCGAGGGAAGTCATCGGATCTCCTCATCTTCCCCTAGTACGCCGTGATTTGATGATGTGTGGCGTAAAGAAACCCATGAGGCACCGGCAAGATAGGCCTTGGCAGGCTCAAGCCTTGGCTGTGTCCCTTCTGAGACAACTCGAGGCCCCCTTACAGTAAACGGGCCAAGTGACAAAGGCGATGAGGCTTCAACCGATGACAATCTTAAGAGGCAAGTCGAAAGCGCGGATCCGAGAAGGGCCTTAGCCGCCATCTACTCAATGTACTCGGCTCGATGCTCAGATCCTGAAGTTATGTGAATATCGTGGGGAAAGAAAGAAAACAGAACACTTGAAAAGGAGCAACAGCCATTACGGAAGGCAGCCAGGCTACAACGGCAAGCCCGATTCTCCAGCAGAAGCACAATGCCTGCAAGCAAGGGCGGGGAAGCCAAGACAAAGCTGTTTGGCATTTTTACTACAGATGTGCGTGCAGGATTCGCATCCCCTCTGCTTCAAGCTGCCCTTGCCTGCGACAGGGTTTCCTGCACCTCTTTGGGTCGACCAGCAGCTGCTGACTCCGAAGTCAGCGAGCGCACGGGTACTTGAACGGTCTTCAGGATGTCGAACATCCAATCCTGCAAGGCAGAGTCGCTGGCCCTAGACTTCGTCGCTGCACCGCTGGCATACACTGGCATGATTGTCCTCGACATTCAGAGCAGGGCCCAAAGCGGCCAGGGAGAGCATTCCGAGGCATCGCGACACCCAGTACGTATCTAGAAGCGAAAGCAGGGGGTCGATTGATGCTCCCAACACAGCTGGCCACGCCAAACTGAAGATCTGCCGGGTCGGCTTCGCCTGCTCGGATGCTTCAATTTCCCATGTGCTACAGCACTAGGGAGACGGGGAGACTTCAGACCAGCTCGTCTTTGGCCCTGTCGCCTCAAGGCCACCGTCCTTGGCGGCTCCGATCTTTGCCTTGCCCCTGAGTCTGCTTGGCAGAGGCGGAACCGAGCGTCGAGGCTGCAACCTCAGCTTCGGATCGGGAGTTGAAAAATCTCAACGAGGTTTCGGGAAGTGTCTGTGATCAGCGCACTCCCGAAAAGTGCCCTGCTTGAGGTTCCAAGGGCTTCTTCCTCCCTCCCGGATGCGGCGGCTCTCACCTACAGCATCCTACGACTTGAAGCAGCCTTCGCGCTTCGTCACTCATGATAGGAGCTGGATGCCAGCTCACGTTAGAGGCAAACCTGCGATTATTGTCGGTGGCATGTATGACTTCTGGCTGGTTTTCCTCTCGGCCTCATTCTTTTCTGTTGACAGACAAAGGGGTGGCCGGAGCTCCAGGTGCAGAGGTAAATGACAGTATGGAATATGCAGAAACCACTGGCAGCATGGATTACAACCAAGACGTCGCACTGGCCGTCACATCAGGAAGCTAACTGAGCTGACTGTACTGAGGGTCCGTCAGTCTTTGGTTGGCAGGCCCGATAGGTCTCCAAGCATGAGCAGGCGCCAGCATGGCTCAGCATGACCCGAAGGCGCAACCCAGAAGCTCCAGAAATGTGCTGACGGCACATGAAATTCCAAGCGTCAAAAGCACAAGGCACCTTATGTGAACTTATGCGCACCATTACTCTCCCCGCGGCACAATGGCTAGAATGGCTATACTACACCCAGGAGCAGCGCAGCGGCGCAGCATAATACCACAACCCGGCCTTCCTTTGCAAGGCGTCGCTGACACGCCAACAGATGTCCTGCAGTGTGACATGGCAGTTGCATTAAACTTCTCGAAGAGGAAGGGAGCTCTGCTGCAGAAGTCCTTCAGCGACGGCGCCGGGCGAGCCTGGCCAGCATGCCTACACTGTCCACATAGGGCGATACCTGCCTCCTCAGGCCTAAGTTTCTATTCCAGAAGGCCCGAATCACGCAAGCTCGCACAGCTTGAATCTGTTGCGCGCAGCATGTGCAAGTATCCATGGCTTGCATGTTCGGCATTCGTGCTTCAAGAGTTCGGCTGTCGAGTCTTCTACGAATCAGCGATCTGCTGCAGAGGTTGCAGAACATATGACCAAACGACGAGCTCCACACCGAGTGTCACATGCATGCTGCGACTTCAACAGGCACACATCTCAGGCGAATAATGACGAGCTTGCTCGGATCTCTCTGAAATCCACTACCAGTACCGCTGCTGAATGCAAGTTCATCCGAGATGATGTCATATAGCAAAAGTAGTGTCTCCAAGGAAATCTTTCCGCCAGGCCTCGGACGAGGATGGCTGTGTGACACCCGTTGTGGCCGAAGCCTGCGTATGGTCTGAATGCCAAGTCTGAAATTCAGAACCAAACCGGGCCGGAAAGCCTGCACGTTCGCAAGCTGCTTCTTGAACTCCTGCGACAGGTGCCAAGGTTGCAACACGTGGGAAGCGGCCTCCCTGGCCTCTACTACAAAGTTGCACTGCACTAGCATCGCAACTGCACAAAGCAGATTACCGCTGAAAGCAAATCCTCGCGGGAAATGCCACCGTCGGCATTGGTATCGAAGGTGACCCACAGCCTCGTCGGCGTACGAAGAGCCCATGGAAGCTGCTCGTGCACAAGCTGCGGTCGGAGAGGTGGTGCTGCCACCGCTTGCAGCGATACTCTACTCCGAGGTGCGAGCTGCTGTAGCTGCCCCTCCCCCAAAGAAGGCCTCATCGGTTCATGCTGCTTCTCAAGCGATTCATTCGAATTGCCCCGAAGAGGACAGTGCTCAAGCTGCGCGAAGAGGGCCCGGAAGTCCGGCCAGCGAACTTCTTGTCCACCGGCGGCCTATGGCCAAGAGGCGATTTTGCCATCAACTAGATACGACAGGGCAACTGGCATCTAAAATAGTCTGAAATTGGGCCGTGGCCAAGGCGTCGAACAGCGCATCCGGCGTCTGACCCTGCGCTGAAAGACTTGCGAGGTTGCAAGGGATGAGTTCTCCGCTGCGGGCGGTAGCAAGCAAGCCGAACGCCTTACGGCGAAGTGCATCGCTGACGCGTGCACAGATTTCCTGCGGAGCGAAATGAAGGCTTCGCAACAAATTCCAACCGGAGAGGGCAGGGCCTGCAGAGAGCCTGCCGCGCGAGCCTGCCAATGTGCTTAAGGGGAGATTCAAAGATGCTGAGCTTCGTGGGTGTTAGCCTCTGGCCCGACTTGGTTCGATTCGGCTTCGAGGCAGCAGCTTCAACGAACTGGGAAACTTGCGATCTCTGACATCCCGTTTGCAAATAAGCAAGCTGTTGCACAGAGAAGGGGCATCGACCCGAAGAGCATGTTTGACACCATGAGGCTGAGTGCAAGGCCAGTGGCGGATGCTTTTTGCTGCCATGTGCAGATGGCGTCGGTTTGAATGTCGAGATTTTTGGCTTTGCCTCTTCTCTACAAACTAAATGTCTTAGCGATCTCGTTCTAAGGATCAGTCGTCAGCAGCTCGACCTTGAGAGGTCTCTATCCTAACTTGTTGACGGCCCATTCCTTTGAATGAGCACTCGTCACTATGCTACATGCTCCACCTTGAGAGGTGGCGATCGTGCTACACAGTGGTCTTCTGTGGAGTCAGAACCAGAACAGTAACACCATGTGGTTCAACATCCATCGAAACAGATCCACTCATAATGCCCAAGTCCTTCTGATCTGTTGCAGAATACACTGAGACGTTGGTTTCTGGACTGAGCCATAGTGTCTCCCACGCCACCGAAATAGATTCTGTTGTGTAGAATATGTTGTGCTCATTGTAGGCCCCGGCGACATTGACCAGTGCCACAGCCACGGCACCCTCGGCAAGGGGCTTCACCCACACATCTGTGTGGTAACAATCGGAGATGGGGCAAAAATTCTTCTGCTTCCGGACGGCGAGGCGGGCGGCTATGCCCAACGGGTCCTGATTGATCTTTAGGATCGCTGGGTTCCTCATGATCTCGGTTACCCACACCTTGCTAGGCTTTGCAACGTCATAGCCAAGGATTAAGGGGGAACTCCACATTGACCACATCGCATGCTCGGTTGCTGCCTCCCTTCTTGTCAAATTGGACGCCGGGAAAGTGTCCCTGTTGTACAGGAAGCCATCAACTCCCCCTTCCAGCATGTCTGCGAAAGCATACGCGCCAGGTCTCGTTGAAGCTGGAATTGCTAGCACCTGAGCATAATACTCATATATCTCTTCGACGCGGTGCCACTGCGGAAAGTTGTCCCACAGCATTCGAAAAGAGTTTGCGATTTGTGGCGCGAACGAAAGCGTGTCATCCTCGCCCCAGTCACAAATCTCCAAGTACATTGTCCGGCCCGAGCTGTTTAATGCCGCGCTGAAGTTTTGGTAGCCTTCCACCCGGCCAGACACTTGATAGAAGGATGGTGGATACTTGCCTCATGATGCAGCCACCCCAAAACAGCAAACATGATATCCTGGACAACACCCCGAACATCCCCCCGAACCGGAAGAAAAAGCATGAGACCGGAACAGTCCCAGTTGCCGCTTTCAGGGTAGTCGATGCCAGCAACGATCCGCGCAAACTCCGGTAGGTCCCCAACATCCAGCCCTGGCGCAAAGAATAGTTCCCCAGGCCAGCCGCACCGATCCACTTTGACGTAATCCACATCCCAAGATGCAAAGGTCGCTGCATCGATCTGGATGTGGCCCATGATCCCAGGTTGGCCTCCACCACATGTCTTCTCTCCAACACTGGTATAGATACCGAACTTGAACCCAAGGCCATGCAGCTGTTCTGCAAGCCACTTGATGCCGTTTGGAAACTTTGCCGGATCGGCCTGCAGTCGCCCGTCTTGATCTCTATCGGGGCTACCCCAGCCGTCATCGATGATGATGTATTCGAAACCACTATCCAGCAGCCCGGAACTCTTCATCGCCCGAGCGACGCTCAGGACTTTGGTTTCATTAACATCCAAGTTAAACTGGTTCCAAGAATTCCAACCAAGAGCCGGCGACCTCACCCCGTTGTCATACGTCTTCTTCATGGGGGCCTGCCACGCGGCCTGAGTCTTTGCAGCATCCGCATAGCTAATGACCGGAATTGTGGCTGGCGTTGGAAACATTGGCGAATGCTCCGAGATGAAGCTGCAGTTCTTGCTTTTTGAGCACCCCTCGTGCGCTTGCAAGGCATCGTTCAAGATAGACTCGTGCTCCGCTTTCAGAGACTCATTGGTCGTTCTGAGAGTGGTGCCCAGGGAGCCCTTATGCACCTCTCGGTGCTGCATCAGGCTTACCTCCGGGGTGCAGTTGTCTTCTGCACCAAACACACCAAGAAGCAAGGGCAGCAAGAAGTGCAGCATGCACCATGGCATCATTGATTCGATAGGTCAGTCAGTAAGGTGCTTGAACCGTCTTCCCCAAAAGGGGCTGCAACCGAACACAGCTTCGGATCTCTGCTCTTATTTGGACATCGCTTCTTCCTTTGAAAACTTCCTGGGGAACTTTGAGAGCTGAAAACCTGGAACTAGGGGAGGCCTAAGCCTAAGGCTTCCTTCGCCTTTCGTTGGACTCTGCCGGACACGCATTGCGCCAGCGCTCGCGTGAAAGACCACAGTTTGCAGAAAGGGTCAGTCGAGATCGGCACTCATCCGAGGAATGTTCTCTGCGCGGTTATGGCCATGAGGCCCATGACATCACCTCTTGCAACGAGCCTGCGACTGCGAGTAGCACGGCTGCGTAACTCCGGCGCTTGCGGATGCCTCTACATCGCTTGCAACCAACAAAACAACTTCTGCGGAAAAGGTGAGCAAAACGCCTGCACGTTCGCCAGCTGCTTCTTGAACTCCTGCGAGCTGTCTCAAAGCTGCAGAGCTTCAGCTGCCGAGTTGAGGTGTTTCAACACTTTGTGTATGTATGTATGTATGTATGTATGTATGTATGTATGTATGTATGTATGTATGTATGCATGTTATGCAATGCAATGCAATGCAATGCAATGCAATGCAATGCAATGTAATGTAATGTAGTGTAGTGTAGTGGTATGTTATGTTATGTTATGTTACGTTACGTTACGTTACGTTACGTTACGTGATGTTATGTTATGTTATCTTATGTTATGTTATGTTATGTTATGTTATGTTCTGGTATGTTATGCTATGTTATGTTATATTATGTTATGTTATGTTATGTTATGTTATGTTATGTTATGTTATGTTCTGGTATGTATGTATGTATGTATGTATGTATGTATGTATGTATTATCTTTATATATCCCTCTGAAGCGCTGTCAGCCAGTCTGGAACAGGGATATACTTTCTGGGCTTCTTCGCTCTCGCTGTGCAGGACTTTGAACACCTTGATTCCCTGCAATTACTACGACCTGGTGTTGATCGCTGTTTTTGTGTAGAATCGGCGGGGGGAGGGGGGGCCGTGTTTCTGGCACAGGCAAGGCCGACATCGTAAACATCATGAACACTATGACTAGCGGCATCATAACATAAACACAAATGCGACGTCATATCTTGAACACAGTGAAGACACAAGCCCTAGTCCTAAATTTTAAAATCCTCAAACCTGCAACCCTGGATGCGAAAATGCGAAAGGATGCCAGTGATGTCCTGTGCCGAAAGGCTAGACCTTAACAAAACCATATCAAGCCTCTTATAAACCCTTTACATCCCTTATAACCCGACGCAGCATTATTACCACCATGATACAAGCTTTTCAACCATGTAAAGCCATGTAAAGCCCCCTACCATGCACCACAAAACATTGGCCTTCCCCTAAAGCTGCAAAACCAAAACAAAGGATTTAGGTGCTTGTTCGTCGGCATCTCCAGTTGTTTAAGGGGTTTAGGCTGTTTAGGGTTTGAAGTGTTTTGGGGCTTAGAGCGTCTGGTAATCCGGGTTTGAAGTTCACGCATGTTCACACTAGCAGTCGTAATAATCGTACTCGCTACCTTCCAAAAGAATGCAGTAAAAAAGAATATCTCAAGAATCTTACGAATACTTTGCCACTAAGCTACTATTGGAGAAAGGCTGCTACTAGCAGTAGTGATGACTTCACGCCCCACTTCCTAAACATGACAATAGACACAGCAATCTTCGTTGTTCACACCGAAACTGAGCAAACCTCAACAAACGATCTACAGACCAAATACAGTCTGGCGCGCAACCATAGTAGTAGCAGTACTAGTCCAGCTCCCCATCCAATACTGCTGGTAGCACCGGCACTAGTAGTAGTAGTAGTAGTAGTAGTAGTAGTAGTAGCAGTAGCAGTAGTAGTAGTAGTAGTAGTAGTAGTTGTTGTAGTTGTAGTTGTAGTTGTAGTAGTGATAGTAGTGGTAGTAGTAGTAGTAGTAGTAGTAGTAGTAGCAGTAGCAGTAGTAGTAGTAGTAGTAGTTGTTGTTGTTGTTGTTGTAGTTGTAGTTGTAGTAGTGATAGCAGTGGTAGTAGTAGTAGTAGTAGTAGCAGTAGCAGTAGTAGTAGGAGTAGTAGTATAACTGGTAGTAGTAGCCGTAGCCGTAGCCGTAGCCGTAGCCGTAGCCGTAGCCGTAGCCGTAGCCGTAGCCATAGCCGTAGCAGTAGCAGTAGCAGTAGCAGTAGTAGTAGTGGTAGTAGTAGTAGTACTACTACTACTACTACTACTACTACTACTGCTACTACTACTACTACTATAATACTACTACTACTACTACTAACTACTAGTACTAGAACTAGTACTATAGTACTCGTACTAGTACTAGTACTAATAGTAGTAGTAGTAGTAGTAGTAGTAGTAGTAGTAGTAGTAGTAGTAGTATCACTTGTAGTACTAGTAGTACTAGCAGTAGTAGTAGTAGTAGTAGTAGTAGTAGTAGTAGTAGCAGTAGCAGTAGCAGTAGTAGTAGTAGTAGTAATAGTAGTAGTAGTAGTAGTAGTTTTTGTCGTAGTGGTGGTAGTAGTCGTAGTAGTAGTAGTAGTAGTAGTAGTAGTAGTAGAAGTAGTAGTAGTAGCAGTAGTAGTGATAGTGGTAGTAGTAGAAGTAGTACTACTAGTAGTAGTAAGTACTATTGATAGTAGTAGTAGTAGTAGTAGTAGTAGTCGTCGTCGTAGTAGTAGAAGAAGAAGTAGTGGTAGTCGTAGTCGTAGTAGTGGTAGTAGTGGTAGTAGTGGTAGTAGTGGTAGTAGTGGTAGTAGTAGTGGTAGAAGCAGGAGTAAGAGTAGGAGTAGGAGCAGGAGTAGGAGTAGGAGCAGGAGCAGGAGCAGGAGTAGGAGTAGGAGGAGGAGGAGGAGGAGTAGGAGTAGGAGTAGGAGGAGGAGTAGGAGTAGGAGTAGGAGTAGGAGGAGGAGTAGGAGCAGGA